TTGCCAAAAACAAGATAGAGGAATAGGTTTTACCCTTTTAACTGGCACAAAAACTGACACCTTTATTCATGATGCCTTGAATAAAGGTGTCAGTTTTTTGTGCCAGTTAAAAGGGTAAAACCTATTCCTAGATGTAGATATCTTCAACACCTGTTTCGCCTGTCACGAAGGTTAAAACCTTTCAAGAGCTCAATCATGATTTGAAGCTTTCGTGACTGCAGGAATTCATACTCTCTGGTTCTTTCGGTAAAGTCACGGGTCTGCCGCAGGCCACGTGCTTTCCCACCTTGTGTTGCGCCCGAAACGTCGTGATTTATTTCATGTTATACCTGCGTGACTTTACTTTTAAAGAGATGTTAACTACCTAGCGCGGCATACAGGAGGTCTTGGGTGTAATCCCGACTCTGACGCCGCCTGCTGCTGTATATTTGAGTCTGCGTCTCTCTCTCTCTCTCCCCGTGGTAGCTTGGATTTTGTCTCCGGGTTCACCGGTTTTTCACTCCACATTGAGAATTAACGTCACGCGCTTGGCGTATTCGGCTGCTTTAAATGTCCACGTGATAATGATGCTGATGACAAGCCACTTCGTTGAGCTATCGCGCGTGATAGGCAGGTGCGGTTCTGAAAAAAAAGCTACGTATCTCGGTGGGACCTTGCCTGGTAAAATAAAGATGTGTTGATTAGTTTTAGTTTGTTAATTGATTAGTCGAAAGACTCCCAGGGTGCCATGGGAAAAAGAAAGTCGGGAGGGGTCGAACGCTCGCTTGCCAAACTGCGTGGGTGGCGAAACGTCCTGTGACTGACAGACCTTCCAAACCTCTGCGTGTTTCATCACCGCCACCACCAGCACCACCACCACCACCACCGTCACCACCACACACCACCGCTACCGTCAGAAACCACCGCCGTCACCACCACCACCACCGTCAAATTTTGCTTCACAGCTTCACGCGGAAACAACTCGCTCCATCGCTCCCTCTCTCTCGTCTCACTCTCTGTCTCTCTGTCTCTCTCTCTCTCCTCGACTCGCATAAGAAGAGGTGAGTCCATACATTTGATACCTTCATAAAATGTGACGTTATTATTCATGGTAATATCGTTACGTGTCCATGCAGTCCGTTTTCATGCAATGCTGGCAGTGGTGGTAGTCGCGTTCTTGAATAACACCGCGTTGTGGTGTAAGACATCGCGTTATAATAATAAATAATGTATAATTATAGGTGGGTATAAAGCACACGTGTGTTCTGCTATAATGCGCTGGTGCTGGGGTAGTAGTAGTAGTCGCGTTCCTGAAGAACATTGCGTCATGGTAGAAATAAATCGCGTTATAAATACAAATAGTAAATCATTATGAGACCTCCTTTGCCAGCAGAAAGATATAGTAATAGGTTTTCACCCTTTTATCTGGCACCAAAACTGACACCTTTATACAAGGGGATCATGTTTGCAATAACCACAACACAAGCAGTCAATCAATTTCAAGGACAGTGCCAATATCATTATCAGAGTTGTCTATTTTTGTTTGCATTTTGACTGCTTGTGTTGTGGTTATTGAAAACATGATCCCTCGTATAAAAGGCGTCAGTTTTGACTGCCAGATAAAAGGGTAAAGACCAATTACTAAATAGTAAATCATTATGTCTATAGTAGCGGGGAGTACCCGGCGTTGACCGGGCGAAAAATATATTTAAAAACTTCTCTCTTAAAAACGTTACATATACATACACAGATATTAAGCTATTGTGAAAGCGAAAGTGGGCCGTTCGTCCATTTCTCCACCAACAAAATAACAAGAGACTTGCACAAGTCCCAAAAGTTATTGAAAGTGTGGGGGGTAAATAGTTGATCTAAAAGGTTTCCGAAAATTGTCGGCCCCCCCCCTCCTCCTCCTCAAAAAATATCTTTATCCCCACCCTCCATACAACAACAGAGTAAGTAGTATCTATTGACTCTGCAGTTGTGTCTACTGACTCTACAGTAGTATCTAGTGAGCCAGTAGTAGCTACTAGTATCTATTGACTCTGCAGTTGTGTCTACTGACTCTACAGTGGTATCTAGTGAGCCAGTAGTAGCTAATGACTGTGTAGTAGTATTTACTGACTGTAGCAGTAACGACTGACCGTAGTAGTATTTACTGGCCCTACAGTAGTATCTACCGACTCTATAGTAGTAATGACTACCTGTATAGTAGTATCTACTCACTCTATAGTAGTATCCACTGACTATAGTAGTATCTACTCACTCTATAGTAGTATCTGCTGACTGTATAGTAGTATCCACTGACTATAGTAGTATCTACTCACTCTACAGTAGTATCTGCTGACTCTGTGGTAGTATCCAGTGACTATAGTAGTAACTACTAACTCTATAGTAGTATCTGCTGACTCTATAGTAGTATCCACTGACTATAGTAGTATCTACTCACTCTATAGTAGTATCTGCTGACTCGATAGTAGTATCTACTCACTTTATAGTAGTATCTGCTGACTCTGTGGTAGTATCCAGTGACTATAGTAGTAACTACTAACTCTATAGTAGTATCTGCTGACACTATAGTAGTATCCAGTGACTATAGTAGTATCTACTCACTCTATAGTAGTATCTGCTGACTCTATAGTAGTATCCACTGACTATAGTAGTATCTACTAACTCTATAGTAGTATCTCCTGACTCTGTAGTAGTATCCAGTGACTATAGTAGTAACTACTAACCCTATACTGACTGGATAGTAGTATCCACTGAATATAGTAGTATCTACTCACTCTATAGTAGTATCTCCTGACTCTGTAGTATCCAGTGACTATAGTAGTAACTACTAACTCTATAGTAGTATCTACTCACTCTATAGTAGTATCTCCTGACTCTGTGGTAGTATCCAGTGACTATAGTAGTAACTACTAACCCTATAACAGTATCTACTGACTGTATAGTAGTATCTACTGACTCTAGTAGCTACTGACTGTAGTAGTATCTACTGACTGTATAGTAGTATCTACTGACTGTATAGTAGTATCTACTGACTGGAGCAGTATTTACTGACCGTAGTGGTATATACTGACTGTTTAAGCATCTACTAACTCTATATAGAGGTATCTACCAACTCGATAGCAGTATCTACTATCACTACAGCAGTGCATACCGACTGTGGTAGTACCTGCTATGATTACAGCAGTAAATACTGACTGTGGTGGTACCTGCTATCACTATAGCAGTGCATACCGACTGTGGTGGTACCTGCTATGATTACAGCAGTGCATACCGACTGTAGTAGTACCTGCTATGATTACAGCAGTGTATACTGACTGTGGTGGTACCTGCTATGACTACAGCAGTACATACCGACTGTGGTGGTACCTGCTTTCACTACAGCAGTGCATACCGACTGTGGTGGTACCTGCTTTCACTACAGCAGTGTATACTGACTGTGGTGGTACCTGCTTTCACTACAGCCAGTGTATACTGACTGTGGTGGTACCTGCTATGGTTACAGCAGTGCATACTGACTGTGGTGGAACCTGCTACCACTACAGCAGTGCATACTGACTGTGGTGGTACCTGCTATGGTTACAGCAGTGCATACTGACTGTGGTGGTACCTGCTATGGTTACAGCAGTGTATACTGACTGTGGTGGTACCTGCTATGGTTACAGCAGTGCATACTGACTGTGGTGGAACCTGCTATCACTACAGCAGTGCATACTGACTGTGGTGGTACCTGCTATCACCACAGCAGTGTATACTGACTGTGGTGGTACCTGCTATCACCACAGCAGTGTATACTGACTGTGGTGGTACCTGCTATCACCACAGCAGTGCATACTGACTGTGGTGGTACCTGCTATCACCACAGCAGTGCATACTGACTGTGGTGGTACCTGCTTTCACTACAGCAGTGCATACTGACTGTGGTGGTACCTGCTATGATTACAGCAGTGCATACCGACTGTAGTAGTACCTGCTATCACTACAGCAGTGCATACTGACTGTAGTGGAACCTGCTACCACTACAGCAGTGTATACTGACTGTGGTGGTACCTGCTATGGTTACAGCAGTGCATACCGACTGTGGTGGTACCTGCTATGATTACAGCAGTGCATACGACTGTGGTGGCACCTGCTACCACTACAGCAGTGTATACTGACTGTGGTGGTACCTGCTATGGTTACAGCAGTGCATACTGACTGTGGTGGTACCTGATATCACTACAGTAGTACATGCTGACTCTATAGCAGTATTTATCGAATCTATAGCACAAAGTACTCACCTGACAGAGTGCCGAGGTGAGGCATTTTGAATGCGAAGGAGAAATCCCCCCCCCCCCACTCTCCACCGATGACGCGCGTGCGTTGCCAGGGGCAACCCCGGTCCAGCTTTGAGCGGGGCGGGGAAATAAATAAATAAAAATGAATCGCACAAAAACGCTATTTTTACTCATTTTAAGTTGACGGACGGGAAAACCGAATAGCCTATACCAAGCACGGCGCTTCCGGCGTGACACCCGGCTAAAAAAAAATTCACGTAAACCCCGCGGTTCGCGAGCCAAATCCTTCGCAAGCGCGCGTACGCAGACAGCCAGACAGACGGACATACGGACAGACAGACAGATAGACAAAAAATCCCTTTTTTAGGTTAGACTAGCTTTACTACGCGGCTTCGCCCGAGACTTGGATTCTTGTCTTGGATTAATACACAGCCTACGCGGAGGGTGGGGGGGGATAAGTGGCGATCGCTTGCGTTGTGATCGAAACGTCGTAGCTTTTTGTTTATTTTATGTTTATTAATTTGAACCTATCTACGTGACTTTACTGAAAGACCCAAAGAATAGTCTACTGTTTAAATTTCGATTTAAAGCTTTCGTGACTGCAAGGATTCGTCTTCTTTGGTTCTTTCGGTAAAGTCACGTAGAGTGAGAATAAAATAATAAAACAAAACAGTAAAATTCTCACGACGTTTCGGCCACAACACAAGTGGCCTTCTTCAGGTGAAAGGACTTTACCGAAAGAACCAACGAATAGTCTACTGTATGTTCAGGTTTTGCCATGGGAAATAGTGGAATAAACCACCCACTCTCTGTGGTGCTACAAACGAGAGGGGAGCCACACCGATGCCTTTAAACACCAGCTCCCTGAAAACAATTGCCCAAGGGCTCTTTATACATTATTATTATTACTTTTGTTATTATCTGCGTTCATTGTGTTCAACCCACTTTGAAAGGGGGAGACTTGCGTCTGTTTTTTCAGGAAGGTTGAAACAAAAATGGTCGACAACAATGGCGTCGGCAGCACTCGGACTGAGCAGCAGGGTGCAGGCTCCGTGTTCTTTCCGAGTCTGAACTCCTCCTACCTACGTTCACTCTTCGGCACAATTGCTCTGGGCGAATTGGTGAGAGTTTTTTTTTCACCTGTGCTTGTGTTTGTGTGTGTGTGCGAGTGAGTAAGTGGATGCATGCGCGTGTGTATGGGACCGAGCGTGTAAAAGTGAGTGCGTGTGTGTGTGGGTATAGGAGTGGAGCCAGTAGTGGTGGGCAGATAGATGTGGGCTAAACGGGCATTGCACGGGCTGGAGAGAGGATGGAGCTGATGCGGTACGGGAAGGCGCGGAGCTAAGCGGACTTGCCGAAAACTGGTACCAGCGGTGTCAAGATCGGCCTCTACGGAGGAGGCTCGTGAAGGACGCTGCTACTGGGCAGTTGGAGGCAGTCGCCCTCCAACAATAATGGAGGGCAGAGGAGCGACGCTCACAACAACGAGCGGAGCGCCGTGTGGCTAAAGCACAGCAAGTTGGTGGCACAGTAGGGGGCACAGCTGGGTGCATTTGATCAACCTATGGCACCTGCTGGGTCTGTCCCGTGACCTCCTGCCAATGGTCGTTCGACACTTCACGTGGCCTTAAAGTGCGCATAGCTTGGCACAGCTGCTGTGTTGATGTCACCTCCAACTAGTGGGGAATGGCAGTTGTTGTTGTTGTAAAAAAATCAGAGTAGTAAGTGTAGCGGTGTGCTACTAACCGGGCGAACCGATTCGCTGCTCATGGCCACTAACAACCAGTGACAATAATCTGAACCCGTCATAGGCCTTTCCTAGGTCGACTCAGCCACCTCATATGAGTACGTAGTTCTTTGTCTTCGTAGGGGCTCGCTAACAACACTTGCCCCCAACAACAGTCTTTTACAGATTGACACATAGGCTTTCCGAAGCAATGTTATCCTAATAGAGGTCGTTTTGGGGTTAGATCGCGTACATGTTCATGCGTCGTTAAACCCGCCGACACTCGACACAGTTATTGCCGGCGAAACCTCGTCCTCGAATTGTAATGTCGTGGGTTTACTCTCCAACACGCCGGTTGGTGCCGGACTCAGAACTAATTGGCATGCTTCTCTTACGTGACAAACCTTACTAATTGGCCGTGTCGGATGGTGGCAGGTTTAACGACATTTCTGTATGTGTATATATACACACACGATCTAATGCAAAAAAAAAAACCTCTATTATGGATAGTCTGTTACAGCCTATAGAACGGTGGGAGGAAAAACTTTTGTGTTGTTTGTCCACCGCTTTCGTCCAGCTGTGCGGGTTGCTGGCATGGTCCCTCGTCGCCTCCACCCCCTATTGGCTCTTCGCCGCCTACAAGTGGGTGATGTTCGTGACCGTCTTCTGCTGGGTCATGACGCTACTGCTCGTTGCCTACCAGTCGCTCGCCTTGCCCGTGCACTGCCTCAGCGTGCCCTGGCCGCTGTTTGTGAGTTACACGCTGGTCCTCGACTTGCGAACAACGCCACCCGCACTTACGAACAACATTCGCACTTACGAACAACATTCACACTTACGAACACCACTCGCACTTACGAACAACATTCGCACTTACGAACAACATTCACACTTACGAACAACATTCACACTTACGAACAACATTCGCACTTACGAACAACATTCACGCTTACGAACACCACTCGCACTTACGAACAACATTCACACTTACGAACACCACCCATGCTTACAAACACCCATGCTAATGAACACCCGCGCTTACGAACATCCGCACCTACGAATTCCTGCACTTACGAACAACATTCACGCTTACGAACACCACCCACACTTACGAACACCCTCACTTATGAACACGCTTGCTTAAGAAAACACCCACCCGCGCTCACGAACACCCATGCTAATGAACACCCGCGCTTACGAACATCCGCACTTACGAATTCCTGCACTTACGAACACCACTCGCACTTAAGAACACCCGCACTTACGCACACCACCCACACTTACGCACACCACCCACACTTACGAACACCACCCGCACATATGAACACCCGCACATATGAACACCCACACTTATGAAAACCCTCACTGATGAACCAGCATCCATGGCATTATTTTTAACATCGACTTTGCGAACTCGTACCGGCAAACTGAAGCACGTCACTACTTTGTTCAGTGGAGCGATCCTCTGTGAGTCACAGCCTCCCGCAGGGCGTGTTTATGTGTGTGTGCTCATGCGCACGTGTGTGTTTGAAAGTAAATATACAGCAGCAGGCGTCAGGGTCGGGCTCAAACCCACGACCTCCTGTATACCAGGCGAGGTAGTTGATGACGTCACGCGATTTTGGACGATTTTTTACAGCCCCCTCCCTCCCTAGTCACACCGCGTCACAAAAAGTCAGACCTCCCACCCCCCTCAAATATGACGTCACAAAGCTCTGCCCGCCCCGCCCCCCAAAAATAAAACATGCTTCAAATCGCTTTAAACTATTTGTCATTGTAGTGCGTATTTAATGTGGCGCTGCACTCTGATGTTGTAGGATAAAATATTTATTTAAAAAAGTCTATTTAAATAAGTAGAACGTGTTGTCTATATTTATTTAAAGTTGCGCATTTTGATGTGACGTCACATTTCTCACCCCCACCCCCTCCCCGTCACAAATATCTGACCCCCCCCCCTCCACCCCTAGGTGCGTGACGTCATTTATGGACGGCCCCTAACAGCACTTGCCCAAACAGTCTGTTAAAGGCTACAGGGAGGGATATTTATTGTGTGTGTGTGTGTGGCTCATGCAGGTCCTGTGTCTGGATGCCCTGTCGGCTGTCATGTATCTCACGGCGTTCATCACGGACGCAGCCTCGGTCCGGTTGGCATCGGGCGTCCCTTCCGTCTACAATCGCTGGGCTGCATCGACGGTAGAGATGGCAGGCGACATGGCCAGTTCCCTCGTCAGAGACAAAGAGCTCCCAACGTGTAGACACAAAGACAAAGATCTCCCAACGTGTAGACACAAAGACAAAGATCTCACAACGTGTAGACACAAAGACAAAGATCTCACAACGTGTAGACACAAAGACAAAGATCTCCCATCGTGTAGACACAAAGACAAAGATCTCCCATCGTGTAGAGACAAAGACAAAGATCTCCCATCGTGTAGACACAAAGACAAAGATCTCACAACGTGTAGACACAAAGACAAAGATCTCACAACGTGTAGACACAAAGACAAAGATCTCACAACGTGTAGACACAAAGACAAAGATCTCCCAACGTGTAGAGACAAAGACAAAGATCTCCCAACGTGTAGACACAAAGACAAAGATCTCACAACGTGTAGACACAAAGACAAAGATCTCCCAACGTGTAGAGACAAAGATCTCACAACGTGTAGTCACAAAGACAAAGATCTCCCAACGTGTAGAGACAAAGACAAAGATCTCCCAACGTGTAGACACAAAGACAAAGATCTCACAACGTGTAGTCACAAAGACAAAGATCTCCCATCGTGTAGAGACAAAGACAAAGATCTCACAACGTGTAGAGACAAAGACAAAGATCTCACATCGTGTAGACACAAAGACAAAGATCTCCCAACGTGTAGAGACAAAGACAAAGATCTCCCATCGTGTAGAGACAAATACAAAGATCTCACAACGTGTAGACACAAAGACAAAGATCTCCCATCGTGTAGAGACAAAGACAAAGATCTCCCATCGTGTAGAGACAAAGACAAAGATCTCACATCGTGTAGACACAAAGACAAAGATCTCACAACGTGTAGACACAAAGACAAAGATCTCCCATCGTGTAGACACAAAGACAAAGATCTCACAACGTGTAGACACAAAAACAAAGATCTCCCATCGTGTAGAGACAAAGACAAAGATCTCCCAACGTGTAGACACAAAGACAAAGATCTCCCATCGTGTAGACACAAAGACAAAGATCTCACAACGTGTAGACACAAAGACAAAGATCTCACAACGTGTAGACACAAAGACAAAGATCGCACAACGTGTAGACACAAAGACAAAGATCTCACATCGTGTAGACACAAAGACAAAGATCTCACAACGTGTAGACACAAAGACAAAGATCTCACATCATGTAGACACAAAGACAAAGATCTCACAACGTGTAGACACAAAGACAAAGATCTCACAACGTGTAGAGACAAAGACAAAGATCTCCCAACGTGTAGACACAAAGACAAAGATATCACAACGTGTAGACACAAAGACAAATATCTCACAATGTGTAGACACAAAGACAAAGATCTCCCAACGTGTAGACACAAAGACAAAGATCTCCCAACGTGTAGAGACAAAGACAAAGATCTCACAACGTGTAGTCACAAAGACAAAGATCTCCCAACGTGTAGAGACAAAGACAAAGATCTCCCAACGTGTAGACACAAAGACAAAGATCTCACAACGTGTAGTCACAAAGACAAAGATCTCCCATCGTGTAGAGACAAAGACAAAGATCTCACAACGTGTAGAGACAAAGACAAAGATCTCACATCGTGTAGACACAAATACAAAGATCTCCCAACGTGTAGAGACAAAGACAAAGATCTCCCATCGTGTAGAGACAAAGACAAAGATCTCACAACGTGTAGACACAAAGACAAAGATCTCCCATCGTGTAGAGACAAAGACAAAGATCTCCCATCGTGTAGAGACAAAGACAAAGATCTCACATCGTGTAGACACAAAGACAAAGATCTCACAACGTGTAGACACAAAGACAAAGATCTCCCACCGTGTAGACACAAAGACAAAGATCTCACAACGTGTAGACACAAAAACAAAGATCTCCCATCGTGTAGAGACAAAGACAAAGATCTCCCAACGTGTAGACACAAAGACAAAGATCTCCCATCGTGTAGACACAAAGACAAAGATCTCACAACGTGTAGACACAAAGACAAAGATCTCACAACGTGTAGACACAAAGACAAAGATCTCACAACCTGTAGACACAAAGACAAAGATCTCACATCGTGTAGACACAAAGACAAAGATCTCACAACGTGTAGACACAAAGACAAAGATCTCACATCATGTAGACACAAAGACAAAGATCTCACAACGTGTAGACACAAAGACAAAGATCTCACAATGTGTAGAGACAAAGACAAAGATCTCCCAACGTGTAGAGACAAAGACAAAGATCTCACAACGTGTAGAGACAAAGACAAAGATCTCCCATCGTGTAGAGACATAGACAAAGATCTCCCAACGTGTAGAGACAAAGACAAAGATCTCCCAACGTGTAGACACAAAGACAAAGATCTCCCATCGTGTAGACACAAAGACAAAGATCTCACATCGTGTAGAGACACAGACAAAGATCTCACAACGTGTAGAGACAAAGACAAAGATCTCCCAACGTATAGAGACAAAGACAAAGATCTCCCATCGTGTAGACACAAAGACAAAGATCTCACATCGTGTAGAGACAAAGACAAAGATCTCCCATCGTGTAGAGACAAAGACAAAGATCTCACAACGTGTAGACACAAAGACAAAGATCTCCCATCGTGTAGACACAAAGACAAAGATTTCACATCGTGTAGAGAAAAAGACAAAGATCTCACAACGTGTAGACACAAAGACAAAGATCTCTCATCGTGTAGACACAAAGACAAAGATCTCACAACGTGTAGAGACAAAGACAAAGATCTCCCATCGTGTAGACACAAAGACAAAGATCTCCCATCGTGTAGAGACAAAGACAAAGATCTCCCATCGTGTAGAGACAAAGACAAAGATCTCCCAACGTGTAGAGACAAAGACAAATATCTCACAACGTGTAGAGACAAAGACAAAGATCTCACAACGTGTAGACACAAAGACAAAGATCTCCCATCGTGTAGACACAAAGACAAAGATCTCACAACGTGTAGTCACAAAGACAAAGATCTCCCAACGTGTAGAGACAAAGACAAAGATCTCCCAACGTGTAGACACAAAGACAAAGATCTCACAACGTGTAGTCACAAAGACAAAGATCTCCCATCGTGTAGAGACAAAGACAAAGATCTCACAACGTGTAGAGACAAAGACAAAGATCTCACATCGTGTAGACACAAAGACAAAGATCTCCCAACGTGTAGAGACAAAGACAAAGATCTCCCATCGTGTAGAGACAAAGACAAAGATCTCACAACGTGTAGACACAAAGACAAAGATCTCCCATCGTGTAGAGACAAAGACAAAGATCTCCCATCGTGTAGAGACAAAGACAAAGATCTCACATCGTGTAGACACAAAGACAAAGATCTCACAACGTGTAGACACAAAGACAAAGATCTCCCATCGTGTAGACACAAAGACAAAGATCTCACAACGTGTAGACACAAAAACAAAGATCTCCCATCGTGTAGAGACAAAGACAAAGATCTCCCAACGTGTAGACACAAAGACAAAGATCTCCCATCGTGTAGACACAAAGACAAAGATCTCACAACGTGTAGACACAAAGACAAAGATCTCACAACGTGTAGACACAAAGACAAAGATCTCACAACCTGTAGACACAAAGACAAAGATCTCACATCGTGTAGACACAAAGACAAAGATCTCACAACGTGTAGACACAAAGACAAAGATCTCACATCATGTAGACACAAAGACAAAGATCTCACAACGTGTAGACACAAAGACAAAGATCTCACAATGTGTAGAGACAAAGACAAAGATCTCCCAACGTGTAGACACAAAGACAAAGATATCACAACGTGTAGACACAAAGACAAATATCTCACAATGTGTAGACACAAAGACAAATATCTCCCAACGTGTAGACACAAAGACAAAGATCTCCCAACGTGTAGAGACAAAGACAAAGATCTCACAACGTATAGTCACAAAGACAAAGATCTCCCAACGTGTAGAGACAAAGACAAAGATCTCCCAACGTGTAGACACAAAGACAAAGATCTCACAACGTGTAGTCACAAAGACAAAGATCTCCCATCGTGTAGAGACAAAGACAAAGATCTCACAACGTGTAGAGACAAAGACAAAGATCTCACATCGTGTAGACACAAAGACAAAGATCTCCCAACGTGTAGAGACAAAGACAAAGATCTCCCATCGTGTAGAGACAAAGACAAAGATCTCACAACGTGTAGACACAAAGACAAAGATCTCACATCTTGTAGAGACAAAGACAAAGATCTCCCATCGTGTAGAGACAAAGACAAAGATCTCACATCGTGTAGACACAAAGACAAAGATCTCACAACGTGTAGACACAAAGACAAAGATCTCCCATCGTGTAGACACAAAGACAAAGATCTCACAACGTGTAGACACAAAAACAAAGATCTCCCATCGTGTAGAGACAAAGACAAAGATCTCCCAACGTGTAGACACAAAGACAAAGATCTCCCATCGTGTAGACACAAAGACAAAGATCTCACAACGTGTAGACACAAAGACAAAGATCTCACAACGTGTAGACACAAAGACAAAGATCTCACAACCTGTAGACACAAAGACAAAGATCTCACATCGTGTAGACACAAAGACAAAGATCTCACAACGTGTAGACACAAAGACAAAGATCTCACATCATGTAGACACAAAGACAAAGATCTCACAACGTGTAGACACAAAGACAAAGATCTCACAATGTGTAGAGACAAAGACAAAGATCTCCCAACGTGTAGAGACAAAGACAAAGATCTCACAACGTGTAGAGACAAAGACACAGATCTCCCATCGTGTAGAGACAAAGACAAAGATCTCCCAACGTGTAGAGACAAAGACAAAGATCTCCCAACGTGTAGACACAAAGACAAAGATCTCCCATCGTGTAGACACAAAGACAAAGATCTCACATCGTGTAGAGACACAGACAAAGATCTCACAACGTGTAGAGACAAAGACAAAGATCTCCCAAC